GCTCGAGAGACGAAACTCAATCTGTTTATTCGAAAACAGAACAAAGAAGAATGTAGAAGAACGATAAGAGAAAACAGATGGCGAATGATGTGAAGGTATGTGATGAACATGCCTGTAACAATTATCGATGACATAAAAATATCAGAATGTTGTCTATCGATTCATATTCATTTACTTTTCGTTACTACTGCTATCACTGTCTTTGTTCAAAAATATTTTGATATCACAAGCTTTTGCTCGTCCAGGATACATATAAAAGCCTTGAACAGATTTTTCATCTATGTCCGTTATCGTCCTTATTTTGGTTTTCTCTGTCTGTCTCATAAGTAATGTAAGTTTTTAGAGAGAAAGCAAGAATCCGAGAAAAACTTTTGCGAGAAAATCACCTACTTTACCTGCCTAACAGTACGCACTGTTCCCAGTTAACAAAAGAGTAATTCTTTCAGTCATATAAAAACAGCTATGGCAATTTTAAGAGAGAAGAGTTTGAATGCAGAGAGAACATGTAGAACATTGGACGAAGAGATAACACACATTACCAGGAGGGCGTGGCAAAATTTGGAGTGGAACCAGTTTTGAGTGAATTTCTGGTTTCTGATTTTTCAGCAGTATTGTGTACAAATAAACGGAAAAGAAGAAATCAGAAATCTACTTGCCAATCAAAATTCTAAATATTCTTCGGTAATATCAGTTAATATTTTCATGATCATGTTGAGACTAGTTCTGATTATCCTTAGAAAAGCAGAAATCAGAAATCTACTTTTAAATGTAAAATTTGGAAGATTTTTCTATATAATCCGTGGAAATCTTACAATTTATACTATAAACTGAGTGAATGGCAGATTTTGTTTTCATTTACTTACCACTTGACTTGCACAATAATTTCTCCTCTTTTCTGACCTCTACATTATAAAATTTCCACGGATTATGTAGAAAAATCTTCCAAATTTTACATTTAAAAGTAGATTTCTGATTTCTGATTTCTGATTATCTGATTTGGATCAAACAATATATTTTTAAGTCTTGGCTCTTACATTTAAGCATACTATTTTGCTCATATTTAGTCTACAGAAACCGTACGGGATTCTCGAAAACTGAAAATTTTAAAATTTAAATTTTCAGAAAATTTTGCCACGTTTCTTTAAAAAAGGGTACCAATTTTAAATTTGCCACTTTATGAAATTATACACAAAAAAAGCTGGTCTGATACTTTGGTGTGAACATCAGCTCTCTAAATACATTTCTATCTCACTGTTTGACGACTGCAGTTGAAACTGGTTAGTTTCAAAATAGAGTATTTATCTTACTGTCAAAATGTTCTCATATCTGTGTGTACCCTATATATATAAGCAAACTATCGTATTATGCAACACATGCATGTACATTATAAGCTTCCTAATATCAATTCCTTTCAGTAGAGGGTAAGCGATGTAGTCGTCGCGTTACTTGTTCTTTTTCCTTGGACAAAGTTCTTATAAATTAGAAAGTTATAAATAATGGAGTATGAATACGGTTTATTTTATAAGTAACGTTTTTCATTCAACTGAGGATTTATATTATAAATTATAACTAGGTATGTCATGATGAGTACCTGCGTAACTTTAACTTGTGCTTGAAGATATAGAAAAAGAATAAAGAATCTTATTTTATCTATTCTAATGTTCTGTATATAACTAGTTATCAATTAAAAGAACACACCTTGGTGCATGATAAGTGTTCTACAGTAAGAATCTATGTATATATAGATACGAAATTATATATCATTTTCTTTCACATATTAAATTTAGAAATCAAAATGAATTTGATATTACGAGTACTGATATTTCATTGTTTCATAAGCATTTTATATGCTCATTTTGGTCCTAAATATTCACCTGAACCATTCTATTCTCTTCCAAATACAGTTNAAAATTGAATATGTTCCAACGGTCGACAGCAAGTCGAACTAAAAACAAAATAGAAAGTGTATATATATCGCCGAGATTGGGAGAGTTGTTTGCACAAACGAAATCTAACTGTTTGATGTGAAACTTAGGTCTTACTAATTTTAGTGGATATTCATCTAGAGATTGAAGCTCAAAAAGAATAATTATAATTCTTATAAAAATCAGAACATGTACTTCTTGCAATATGATATTTATTCAAAGTTTAACTGCAATGAAATATTATTTCCTGTTTCAAAAATATTAATTGAATAATTTCGCAAGAAAATAAAATTTTAATTTTTCTAGAAGGAGAAGTTTTCCTCTTTTGTAACTATACACTGCCAAACTAGATACTTTTCAATTTGTAAAGTTAATGATTCAGCTAATTGCCTCAATCGGACTTCGTTTTCAGTGACTAGTTTCAAGTGATACGTTACGTTTTTTTAAGACTCAGCACGAGGATCGTATCAATGAAAATTATACACAAAAATAGCTAGCCTGATACTTTGGTGTGAACATCAGCCCTCTAAATACATTTCTATCTCACTGTTTGACGACTGCAGTTGAAACTAGTTAGTTTCAAAATGTTCTCATATCTGTGTGTACCCTATATATATAAGCAAACTATCGTATTTATGCAGCACATGCATGTACATTATAAGCTTCCTAATATCAATTCCTTTCAGTAGAGAGTCAGCGATGTAGTCATCGCGTTACTTGTTCTTTTTCCTTGGACAAAGTTTTTATAAATTAGAAAGTTATAAATAATGGAGTATGAATACGGTTTATTTTATAAGTAAAGTTTTTCATTCAACTGCGAATTTATATTATAATTATATTTAGGCATCTCATGACGAGTACCTGTGTAACTTTAACTTGTGCTTGAAGATATAGAAAAAGAATAAAGAATCTTATTTTATCTATTCTAATGTGCTGTATATAACTAGTTATCAATCAAAAGAACACACCTTGGTGCATGATAAGTGTTCTACAGTAAGAATCTATGTATATATAGATACGAAATTATATATCATTTTCTTTCACATATTAAATTTAGAAATCAAAATGAATTTGATATTACGAGTACTGATATTTCATTGTTTCATAAGCATTTTATATGCTCATTTTGGTCCTAAATATTCACCTGAACCATTCTATTCTCTTCCAAATACAGTTAATAATCCAAATGTGCCACTCGACATTGATTGTGCTCTTCGTGCTTTTGCTATCGAAATGGCTAATTACATTGCACCGCCTCCTTTCAAAAGCAACTGGACAAGTCTTGTTGAGAGTGCAATTCAATTCAATCAATGTCACAACACATCACGTACACACCCTCACTTACAACCATCATCACCACTAACGAAAAGCAATCAACAACTTTGTAATAATTCTTTCTATGTTCATCATTCGAAAGGAAATGATTTCTTTGATGGATCATTTCAATATCCATTCCAAACGATTCAAACTGCACTTGATCATGTTCGTCTTCAACGTCAAATAAATCCACGTCTCACACAAAATACATCATGTATCATCATTCGAGGTGGAACTTATTATCTTGGAACAAATGCATCAACAACTACAAGTCAAAAAGGTGTCATTGCATTAACAAGTAATGATAGTAATCTTATTATCAAAAATTATGAAGATGAACGAGTTATTTTGAGTGGTGGAACATTACTTGATCTCAAATGGTCATTTCATTCGAAGGCATCCACTGGTGGAAATATTATGAAAGCTGAAATTCCATTGTGGGTGAATGTTGATGAATTTAATGAATTATATATTGATGATCAACGAGCAATTGTTGCTAAATATCCAAATGGTGATCCATCAACTCAAGGATTATATGCAGATCATCCAGGTTTTTCATATGATTCACAAGGTTGGCTATCACCTATTCGTCGTTCAAGTGTTGAAATTCATGTCCAAGAACCTTATAGAAATGGTACCTTTTTTCCTTATCATCAGTTTGGTATTGGTGGTGGTGCATCCGTCTTTGATCCACCGCGTAACTTTTGGAGTACATGGTCACCACCAGCAGGTGGGAATTATGGTGTTCCTAGTGGTTTAGTGGTGAAAAATGGTGCACTTCCTAATCTTCCTAAATGGTCTAATCCATCCACTGGTTTTGTTCATGCATTTCATTCTGGTTATTGGGGCAGTTGGGTATTTGACATTGAATCAGTGAACAGTTCACAAAATACAATCGTGTTTGGTAAAGGTGGATTTCAAGAAGCACGTGGTTCAGATCAAGGTGGTCCATTTTATGTTTCGAATATTTTCGAAGAACTTGATTCACCTAATGAATGGTTTCTTGATCAAACATCTCGTACTCTCTATTTTATGCCCAATGACACAATGCCGAATGTATTCGTTGCTAGTCAAGTACCATGTTTGATATCGTTGGGTGGAAGTGATATCAATGATCCTGTCGAAAATGTTCTTATTCAAGGTTTAACATTCACACAAACAAGTAATACATATATGAAAGAATATATGGCACCAAGTGGTGGTGATTGGTCTGTTCATCGAGGTGGAACAATTTATATGAGAAATACAAAACAAATCTCCATTGTGCAGAATGTATTCACAGAATTAGGTAGTAATGGTATTGCAATAATTGATTATAACGAACAGAATTCAATCACATGGAATGAATTTGCATGGTTAGCTGATTCTGGTGTAATTGTTGTTGGAACTACAAATGGTATTGATGGATATAGTGTGAATAGTCAACCAACGAATATTTTAATTGAATCAAATTTATTTCGTGAAACAGGTATTTATATGAAACAATCATCACCAGTATTAATAGCAGTAAGTCGAAGTATTCAAGTAGTGGGTAATGTGATGTTTAACATGCCTCGTGCAGGTGTGAATATCAATGATGGTTATTATGGTAATCATTCTATTAGTAGAAATGTAATATTTAATAGTGTTCGTGAAACAAGTGATCATGGTCCAATAAATACATGGGATCGACAACCATATTTAACAGATGCTGTTCAACCAAATGTGCCTTCATTATGGCAACATGTAACTTATATTGATCATAATGTTCTCTTCAATAATTATCGTTCTGTATGGCCGATCGATCATGATGATGGTAGTTGTATTTATGAAGATAGTTACAATTTTCAAGTATATGGCGGAAAAAAAAACTATTTAGGTCATTCGAAAACAGATCATCATGAAATTTATGTGTACTCAGATTTAAGTACTGGTGGTTTCGGCAGCAATAATTGTCTCAATAATTATGCTCCTCAACGAGGTGTTAGTGCTTGGAATGAAAATTGGATTGAAAATACATGTATTCTTTATAGCCGTACTTCGCCTTATAATCTAGAAAACTGTGATGTGTCTGATCTCTATATACCATATGTTGCATCGAACAAAATTTATATTCCACCAGGTAGTCGAGAAATATTTTATTGCAAAGTGAACGGTACTATGATGGAACTTAATTTACAACAATGGCAATCATATGGAATAGATAAGGGTACCGTCGTTAATGATGCACCTGATGTTAACACCATTATTGACTGGGGTCGTAAAATGTTACAAGGATAAAACCACTAAATATGAACACGAACTAAAAATTTCACTGGTTTCGATTTGTTTTTTTTGTGGTATTTTGATTTCAGAAATATGATCCGTCATTTTTTAATTTTTTATAAATGATGAATTAAATACAAATAATAATTATTATTGTTTTAATACTTTCAGTTTGAGCACAAAGTCACGTCTCTTTCTCAACATTAATTTGAACAAATAATCAAACATAATAAAATGAAAATTTCTTTTACGCGAAAGCACCACAAATGAGGTAACAGATGAACTCAAATATGGACGAATAATAATTTTCCAGACTAATTTGCCGATAATGAACTAAGACAAATAAATGATATAAATATTGTTAATAATCGAAGTAAGAAATTAAAATAAGATACCTGTAAATAAGCTGCAAAATTAGGTATACAACAATTTTGTACAATACTGACTATTGTTGCTGATAGTTTCATCGTAAAAAGAGACATATCAAAGCTATTAATTGAATTATTTCGTATTTGTCATCGTTTTCTAATTACATGTATGATTACAGTTGTTGTTGAAACAATTATAAACAATCTTGGAATAAAATTATGTGCAAATCGTGTATATAATACTACGGATGGAATCTATAATGAACATGGAAAGGCAGAAAAAAGTGAAAACATATTAAAATAATTTTGACATGGATACAGAAGAATAATAATGATATTAACAAGAATTAGATGTGCAAAAATTCGCGAGACAACATGGAATTTAATAAAAGAGAATTCGATTACGTTGTGCTACGAATAAATATGAATGAAAAACAAGTGAATATCTTTCTATGCCTACGAAAACCGTGGTTTTTTAGAATCGCGATATGAAGCGGTTTCGAATGACTTCATTAATGAATAATTGATGCAACATAGCATGTTTGCATAATTATATATTTGATCTTATTTTATGGATGAACAGTATTGTTTATAGATGTTGTATTGGATATGTTCAATAGAGAGAGTATAATCATCAGATTATATATACTAGATCATCAATAGTGTCTAAAACAAGATCAATAATTCGAAGACTCTTATAAATTCCCGAACCTTTTGTAATATAAGTCCATTAGGTGTTTCACAACGAAACGTATGCAGAAGAGGCATTTAACGCGATATATTATTTCAGTAAACGATCGATTGCATTTGGAACAAAACTAAGAATCTGAAAAAGTTCATCGGATTTTTAAAGAAAATCTTTAGCAAATTATCGCAATTTGAATACCTGACTGAGTATCGGATGGAATTATATTCACATGGTAATATTCAAGTTGTTTTAACTCCTTGATGTGCTCGTCGATAAAGTGTAAATCAGTTACTGAATAGTTGAGTATGGTGAGATGAGGTAAATTTGAAAATATGGATCGCAACACATCATTCGAGAAGAATGCACAATCAGAAAAACGTTCTATTAAAATATTGATGTGTCTATTGCTTAGTATTAATGACTTATGTCGAAGAGGTAGTTCGGAAAAAAGAAATAAAGATCGTAAATGAATAAATTCATCATATGTTTGTTGATCAAGTTGAACTGTTTCATGATAATCGCTAATAATTGAATGAAATCGATATTGTGATGCTAAAGATGTGTAAAATGCATAAAGAATATGCGAATGTTCTTCTTGCTTAGACAATGGTTATGAACATGTCCGTGTCGCCTTTGACCGCGTATGTTGACCTATATTGAATATGTTATCTCATGTGAGAGATGTTGAACGATTTTCGAATTTTGAACCAATGAAAACATGCGCAAGTCAGAGGCATGTTGCTTTCCATAAAATGGGCTTATTTTCCAAGTTGAAAAATATGGTTTAGCAATTTGTCAAACAATATCACTTCTACTTCCTTGTTTTCATTCAGAAATGCATGCAGCATGGTTATACGTTATCGCACAGAGTTTAGTGTTACAATTATCTCGCAAAAACTCACCGTATCTACTAACACTCTGTAGCTTTGGCTGTCCTTATGTCTCTCGTTTTTGCACCAGTTGCCCGCGGACGGACAATTCGTCGCAGAATTAATTAATTGTAATAAGATTACGAAAATATACAGGTAGATGAGAAGAGAGGTATATTTCATGAAAATAATCATGTCTGTAAACAATTAACGAAATTCGTTGTGACAAACTTAACATGTATTGAGTCAACGGAAAACCTGCACACCGTTGAGTAGTGTAGTGTTTCATTTAGGACGTCCCACGTAAGGAATTTCCTCGAATTAATAGATAATAAAAACAGCTTTTAGTATTCTACCCTATATATGCAGTAAAGTAGGATTACTAACTGAAAAGGTGACATATCAAAAAGATCACAAATGCTAACAGATCTCGATTTCATAAGGAAAACATGTGAACTTCCATTCAGAATAACTAACATGTTTTAAAGCAAAGAACTATTTAGTAAATGAATTATTGCAAAAAAGATGAACATATTCGTAGATTACTTAATCAGAGTTAAGGACTGATTGACCTTCTATTTGATCAACGATACTAAAAAACTAACTAACAGGTTTAGTATTCAATGCTTCTATGATTGATAAAAGAAGTTTCATGTTATAAGATGAATATGTATCTCATTATATTTAATCATCAATCAAGTGGTAAAAATAAGAGAAGTATAGAACATGATGATTTTAAAATCATGAAAGTTTTCTTTATTTATTTCAAATTAATAATATAATTCTGCATTAGCCCAATGATAAATCGTAGAAGATCCACCAACAGTTAATACTTTTCCATTAGGTAATAATGATGCTGTAATGCATATAACGTTCATAATTCATTCTTTCAAAAGTTGTTGTCCATTTTCTTATTAATGGATCATAAATTTCCACTCGATTTGTGGCATCGGTATTAAATCCACCTGTAACTAAAACATTTCCATTAGGTAATAGAGTTGCTGTATGTTGTTTTCTGACGTAACGCATACTATCAGTATAAGACCAATTTCCACTTATTGGATCATATAATTCTGCAGTAATATCCGAACCCCCTGCTACTAATACTTTTCCATTTTTTAAAAGGCATGCTGTATGGTCCATTCGTGCTATTTTCATTTTACCAGTAATTGTCCAAGTACCTGATCTTGGATCATATAATTCAGCAGTAGCTAGAGAACCATTAATTCGATTATATCCACCTGCAATTAATACTTTTCCATCTATTAAAATAGTTCCTGTATGACTTCCTCGTATATTTATCAAACTATCAATTGATGACCACTTTCTTGTTAATGGATCATATAATTCAACACTATCTAAAGTT